CCGTCAGTCTTTTCATTTATCAAGTTGTTGATTTGATTTGCAGTCCTATTTGGTGTTTTGTTAAAGTCAACACTGAAAACATTAGTTTTAAAGCTGTTCTCGACAATGTTCAAGTAGGTGGGCAGGAAGGGGTGCTTGTTTTGCAAAGCAATGGAATTTGCTAGCTTAAGTGCATTCTTTGAAGAGTTTAGACTCTGAAGAAGAGTTTTGTAGCCAGCTATCAGTTGATTATCAGTTGTATCACTTTTTTGGAATCTGAAGTATAAAATAAAGTTAAAATTAAATGTAAACAACAACAGGTTTGAAAATACTTACCCAAGAACACCTCTAATCTCGTCGTATGTTTTGCCAGCAGAACCGGTCATGGCCAATGTAAATATCGTGCTTAGGCTGAATGGAGAGATCAATAGATTCTTCGGTTTACTACCGTTTGCCTTTCTTTGAGAGAATTCTCTTTTCTCAAGTGTATTGAGCAGTTCAAAGCCAAACTCGTCATTGGCACGGGCAATTTCAAGCAATTTTTCCTCGCTGATAGTGTCACCATCAGTTGTAACGCAGTTCAGCGTAATGACAGTCATTGCCACTTTGACCAGAATGGAGAGCAAGACCATTTTTAGCCGTCAGTTTGGTCACAGTTTGGTCAAAAAGGTTAACACATTTGACATGAAAAAGAAGGTTATTCGCTGGAAAAGAACAAAACAAGCAGACAAAATGTAGACTGTTCTGGTCACATGTGAAGAGCGGCAGTGTAAACAGTGGGCTAACCGGCACACAATGGGGCAATTTCAAAAATTGTGTACCTGCACAATTTCCTTGGGGGTACTCTAAAGCAGTGGAAAGGGGACAAAAGTTACCCAATGGAAGGGATTGGACAAAATCTTTTGTTGTAGTACAGAGCTGGTGATATGGTGTGGCAGAAGTGAAAATATTACTCAAAACTACCTTTTGCTGTAAAGCCTCTTATCAGTAAGCTGTGCTCGTGCGATCAATGGTACTGCAAGTACCTCAGCACTATTCCAGACCACGACCACTATCATAGTAGTGATAACTAACCAGTTCACTAAAAAATTTCTAGAAATGCAAAGTCCAATTTATTTGATAAAACTGTGAAAGCTATAACAAACACTTGTGTCAAGCTGCTCAGATACAGCCTATCTAATGGGTAAAGCATTCGCCAGTCAACTGGTTTTTAAACTTGATCGCCACTTTGCTGCCCGATTTGAGCAAGTCCAGCGCTTCAGTCAGGCGAATGTTCAGTGTTTTGTGCTCAATGGTCGCTTTTATGTGGGTGCTGTTGCTGCCGCTAATGGAAACATGCAAGCTTTCGGTGTTGACAGCTTTGGTGCTACTCAGTGCCACCTTGATGGTGTCAACTTTAAGAACAGACTGTTCTGGCGTGTTGATCTTTGCTTTGTACCCAAAATGCACCGCTTTAATACTGAGCTCACAGTTGCTTAGCTTGAAGGCGTAGAAGTTGTAGTCTCCTGACTGGACGGTGTCAATCGACTCGCCGTCGTCAAAAAACAGCTCTCCACATGCTGAACCAGTTGAGTTGGGCAGCACCCACAGTTCAAGCGGGGCTTTGCGGAGATTAGCAGTGTTGACCACCGCTGGGAGTTTGCTCTCCGAGACAACGGGTAAAATGGAAGCGGCTCGAAGGAGAAGTGGTCGATGGGAGTCAGCCTCGGCGAAATGGACGTGCCCTGAAGTGCGGTGGGCTTTGCTGACAAAACTGTTCTCCATTCGGTACCACTCGGCACCTTCAGGAGCGTAGGCATTGTGGAAGGTTTGGTTCTGTAGAGAAATAAAATTACAAAAACTGTTTTTAAAAAAGCATCTTTTTGCATTACCTCAAACAAAAAAGGATTCACCATGATGGATGGCCCCAGGAAGAACTGCTCATCAATGTCTCTAGCAGCCGGGTCTTGAGGAAACTCGTGGTGGACCGGTCTATGGGTTTAATGATGGCAGTTAGAAGATTACCTCAAATCTAATCAATTAAACTCACCTAACAAGAGTTTCTCCAGTTTTGTGCGAGAAGTAGAATCGCGTGTAGAGGTAGTGCAGCAGCTGGTACCGAGTTCGCAAAGCCAGTCGTGCGGCTTCAGTCACCTCCGGGTGACCTCGTTCCGCCCACACGCCCGGATCCTGATCAATCTGGCCGATGTCATTGTGCGAGCGAGAGAAGGGACTGTAGGCGCCCAGGACGAACCACCGCCGGCACAGTTCGGCAGTGGTGTTTCCCCGAAAGCCGCAAATGTCGGCGCCGACGAAGCTAAGTCCAAAGAGGCTGAACTCGAGCATGCCAATGATGGACTGTCGCAGCTGTTCCCAACTGGAGTCATTGTCGCCCAGCCAGTGGGCGGCATACTGACCCGAAGAGGGGTATGTCGAGCGAGTGAGAACAAATCCTCGTTTTCCAGTGGCTTCGTGCAGTCCACTGCAAAGTGAAAAAACAAATGTTAGCCGGTTTTATTTTAAAAAAAAGTGACTCACTCAAGCGTAGGCTTCGTCTCTGACCAGCCGTACAGTGAGTGGACATCGTAGTGTCGGTACTCGCCATGCTCTCCCTGAACCGAACTCATGCAGATTGTTTTGGTGTTGATGGGCTCATTAAACTTCATTGCAGCTGTTTAGAAAACAACAAGTTAATAAGAAAAGTTTAGAGCACCTCAATGACTGCTTACGATATGCGATTGCGTACTTGTCCGCCGGACACTTGTACCATTCAGCCTCGTCGAAGATGTTACTCGGCTCGTTCATGTCCTAAAGGAGAGAGATTGTTTGGTTAGTTGAAAACCACTTTTTTGTGACTAAAACTTGCCGTCCAGAGAGCATCAAATTTTAGGTCCTGGTGCATGTTCTTGATCATCTCTTTCCACCAATGGACGGTTGAGTTCTTGAAAAAGTCCGGAAACGCCGCCGGTCCTTTAGGCCACACCTTGCCATACAAAATTCTTTTATCAGCAGGAACGTTTTTAGGATGAATAATTTGGGAGGAGTTTGCCAGCTCTTGAGGCCACTTGATAAAGACATCTCGCTTGTAGCCTTCATCGAAAACACTGTACTCTTTCTTATCGCCCTGAATTGCCGGGTCGAGAATGAGAGTCCAACGCAGGTTGTGCTTCACTTTGGTTTCATTGATGTACTGTGGCAGCTCGGCAAAATGAGTCTTGCTGTAGGTGAAGTCACGATACTCGTCCATATAACTTTAGAAAAAAAGTACCCCAGTTAGATTGTTTTCATTTTCAGACACACCCAATCTCTTTTACTCAATGTCCATGTAAAGGACGTCTAAAGGTATGTTGTTCTTCAGTGTTCGTTGCACCACCTTCTTCACGTCATCAGTGGTCTGGTAGCCGTATCGACACTGCTGATAGCCCAGTGCCCAGAAGGGTGGCATCACCGGCCGACCCACCAGGGAGGTGTACAGCTGAACGATGTGCTCCGGACTGTCACCCACAAAGAGGAACAGGTCGATGATGCCACCGGCCATCTTCAGTGACAGTGCAGGCGATGGCAGCAAAGTGTAGGCTGAAAAAAGGAAAAAATATGAGAATTGGAGTCAACTGAAAATCACCACCACCACCACCACAACTTACCCATTGCATTACTGTTAAGGAGAAAGAGGCCGTGCGCCTTTCCGTCCCGCTCCACAATCTGAACCACCGGATGGTGTCCATAGTAGGGACTGTCCAGGTCACCCACCAGGTGGTCTCGGGCAAAAATGGGCAGTGTGGTGTAGTTGGTCTCACGGCGGAAAGAGAGGTGGTAGTTCTCGCCAAAACCGTAGACGTCCGGTGACGCCAGGTACGTGGCAAAGTGAATGAACTGGTCACTGTAGACGAGGCCGCCGATGGAGGTGTCCAGGAGGGTGGTGCTGCCATTGCTGCCAGACCCTCGACGGCTCACCTTCAGGTGAAAGTCACCCCCGGACAGGGAGACGTCGTAGGCTCGGTTTTCACGGGCCCAGTTCGTAGCCGAGGGAATGTTGAAGACACTCTGGACGGGCACCTCGTACCGCTTGGCCGCCGGATCGATCAGTCGAATGCGAAGGATGTGCTCGTTGAGAGGACTGACGGTCAGCTTTAGTCTGGGCAGCTGTTTGAAAGTGGGCGTCAGTTTGTGGGCAGTTGTCTTCAGTGTTAGCGTCGATTCAAAGCTCTGGCCATTGGTCAGTTTGGTGGACTTTGCCGAGAGGGGATTTGTGTAGCCGGTCAGCTGTCGGTCGAGGTAGCACCAGGGCGCACCGTCATCGTTCACCACTGACCAGTGGCAGTCGCGAGATTTGCACTCTTCCTCTTTTAGGTTCTTTTCTGTTTGAGAGAGGAAAAGTGTTGTGAATAATTTTTTCATTTTAAAGTTAGTTATCAGACTTACCAACTAGTGCACAGTTTAGTCGATCATTGATGTCTGGAGTAGGTCTGGCAGGCACGCTTGCAGTTAATGTAGCAAATGAAAGAAGGAGAACCTTTAGCAGTGCCATGTTTGAGGCAAATGTTAGGTGTAACAAAAATGTGCAGCTCGTGGTGTCATTAAATAGGAAATGTTGAATGTCAGTCCAAAACGGTGACATCAGGTCAGCGGATGTTAATTTTGCAAAATGTGCGCAAAACATTCCACTCTGATTGGTGATTTCAAGACATCTTTAGTTGGTAGTAAACACAATAAAAACCCAAATCAATTTGTGTTAAAACTGATAAGTGAGACTTAAGGAAACAAAACAGATGATAATCAATCAAGCAGGTCGATTACTTTGTGCACAGTTAAATCATACCATCTTTTATCATTTCACCAGAGCACCTGCACTCAGCGTGAGGATAAGCTAAATAACTTAAATTGCTTAAATAATTTTAAAATGTCAACAAAAGATGCACTTGAACAGTTGTGGTGGCGATGATGATGAAAAATAGTTAACTGCTTTTAATTAAAATAAAAATTTGAATTTGAAGTATAAAACGTGCTATAAAAAATCTCGCTAAAACCAAAACTTAACAGAGTTAGAGTTGCTGCTGCTGATGATGACTGCTGGGCGGAGAAGAAGCAGAATCAGGCGTGGTAAAGCTGGGCGGTGAAAGTGGAGCTGAGGGTGAGTGGGCGTACGTCGGAGAACTGTTCGCGTTCGAATGAGTGGGCGAAGTGGAGGCAAGTGTGGTCTGCTGAATCAGCTCAGAGTACTTCTGCTTGGGCGGTGGGGGACCGGGTGGTGTCATTCTGGCCGTCTGATTACTTCCACCACCGTCCGTCGCACTCGATTGAGATGCAGTCTGCGGCTGCGGCTCTTGAAAGCAGGGCACACAGCCCTTCTTTCCGTACAGTTCCCGCAGCACCAGCAGGGCAGTGTCCTCTGAGAGCCAGTAGCAGCCGTGGGCGGCAATGGCAAAGAGGTACTCATTGACGATTTCTATGGGACGTTCTTGAAGGACATAATCAATGCGGCGGCCCGAGTTGAGGCGGCCAAAGTAAATGGTCGCCACCAGTGCCTGCTCCTCCTCGCTCAGGTCATTGTTGTTGTTCGTCACCGAGAGAATGTCATTGCACGAGGGTGAAGTGGAGAAGGTGGACTGCTCCTGGGTGGTAGTCGACGATTGCTGCTGCTGCTCTTCAGAGCTTTCAGTAAGCAGCTGCTGTCCCTCTGCTGAGCCATCGCCTTCTGATGCTGTCCGTTGGTGCGCCTTCAGAAAGCCATACACCGAGTCCAGTGTACCCTTGATCGAGGTGAGCACCTTCTCCTTCAGCTCAGTGCCCATGCGAGTGATGCTGTCCTTAATCTCCAGGTGAAAGCGCTTGCGGCCCTTGTGATGCGGAACGAGCACCGGCTTCAGCTTTGCGCTGTCCGGGTCAATCAACGGCTCTATGCGATAGGCAATTGGATCATAGGGGTGAAAGATGTTGTAGAAGCTGGGACAGGTGGGCAGCTGAAAGTTGCCATCCAGCTGGTGAATGCCCCGGACGGAGAGAAACACCGGAATGGGACTACCAAAGGCGAAGAAGGCCGCCGGCCGAAAGTACAGCTGCTCTACTGGGTGGCTGGCCAGATGGGGGTCCTCCTGGTGACTCGCCTGGTGCGACAGCAGGTCAAAGAGAATGAGCGAGCCGAGGCTGTGCCCGCCCAGGGCAATGGTACCGGTAAAGTGGGGGTTGCGGCTGAGGAAGAGCGTGTAGATGCGATTGAGCTCGCTGGCCACCGCGTGGCGAATCGTCTGCGAGTGCTGCGGCGCGGTGTAGAAGAGGGCGTCCATGATGGTGTCGTTGGTGAAGGCGCGAATGCGCGGGATGGACGGCAGGGTGATCATCTTCAGGTGGGCGTCCAGCTGGTCGGTGTGCAGGGCAGAGTGCCAGGAGATGGGCAGCACCTCCACCCGGCCCATCTCCTGCTCGTGGCCGTAGTGGGAGCCCATCAGGTCGGCGCTGATCTCCCGAAAGTCGTCCACCACGTCGACCAGCTTGCGAAAGGAGATGTCGCAGAAGTCGCCGATGCCGTGCACCATGAAGACGACGTGCTCCACCGGGGCAGCCTCGTCGCGCTCCTTCTGCGCGTTGGTCAGCCAGACGCCTCGGTAGGCGTACCGCGGCGTCATATGCGTCTCCATCATGGCGCCCCAGCCGTCTTGGTTGGTCGTCTCGGAGATGTAGTGGTACACCGAGTCGGCGGCGTAGAAGATGACAAACTCGTGGGAGGCGAGGTCGACGCGCCGGTTCCAGACGTTGTTGGTGAAGCATTCGCTGCAGAAAGAGTACAAGTTGTTATTGGCATTGAAAAGAGGAAACACAAGCGCACTTACCGATAGGTCGACTCGAGAAGGTCTGCCACCTCTTCCGCGTACGGAACAAAGCGGTAGTCCGAGTCACGTTTGAAGAACCAGGAGCATCGCTGCACCTTTTGACTTGCTCCAGTCCAGTACACTGGCTTTCGTGTTCGGTCCCTCAGCAGCACATCGTATCGTGTCCCGTTGGTGGAAATTGGGGTGTCGTACCAGCCGCATCGAAAGGCGTACTCGAGATTGTAGCTGTCGTAGTTGCTGAATGGCTGCCAAATGTCCGGTTGAGCGGGATCTTTCTGGTAGAACCAGTGATAGTCCACTTCCACGTAGGAATACGGCTGCGGTGGCGGCTGCTCTGTTGACGTGGGACTAGCTCCATCAGCTACAGGAACGTCAGAAGGACTTGAGACGATAGAGCCTGAATCAGAGGACATGGCGCCCAGTGATTCAATCGACCCGGCGACGGCTCGATGTGAAACACTGTCCAAGTTGGAGGTGGACGTTTTAGTCGAGTCGGCGATGCTCAGTCGGTCAAAGTCAGACGAAACGGAGGACATCTTGCCCAGTTCAGAGGTGTTCACCGATGAAGTGGGCGAATCGGTCAGGCTGGCCATGACGGCGCCAGTCGACGAAGGCTGTCCAGCGGCGGCATCAGCGGAGGAGCTCGAATCACCTCCAGCGAGAGACATTGAAGGAGAAGAAGAGGTTGGCTGGATGGTCAGTTCAGGCTTGGGCGCCACGAGGATGCAGTCATTCGGCTGTGACCAGGCGAGATTGACGGAGTTGAGTAGCAGGGAACTTTGAGGACGCTGAGCCGTCGACGGGAGATTATATAATGCGTTGCCACCACCACTCGTCGTTTGTTGATACTGGTACGGATTACTTCCACTCATGATTGAAAAGCAAATGTGAACCCGATGACTAAGAGAGAGCTGTGCTTGTACCGGAGAGGCGAAAAACGTCTAAGAAGAACACGATAGATAGATAAATACAACATGAAATGAGTGGGAAAGTTATTTATAGATTCCTGTGGCAGAGGTACCTACCAAAACAAAGGGGAAATCGTACAGTCCGCTTTTGGTTCAACTGCCCTAGAGGCCACTCACTGGTTTGTTTTCTTTGGGAATACTGCTCCTGTTGATGTTGTTCCTTGCTGGAACAGAAAGGCGCCGTAAATGCAAAAGTTGTGTAAGATGTCCGAGATAAGTCTGTGTCTGACGTACAGGGAAATGAGAAGAGAAAGAGAGAGAGAGTTTTGTTGCCAACAAATCAGCACGGCAAAACAGTAGGCTGGCTCGCAGACTACGTAAGCAGCTGCGAAACTTGATGCACAGGTGTGAGAGTAAGAGACTTCTTCCTCGTTACCTTCACATACATTTTCACCGCTTTGATGCACTGACAACTGATCACCTAGTGTTGATGCACCTAGTCACTGATCGACCTAATTTTGATTCTATCCTTCTTTTTCGCCGGTGTTACACTTCTACCCGAAGATGAGTCAGTTTGCCGCATCTCCTACGATTTGTTTACATCATGTTGGACGCATCATCATCATCGGATGACTGCTCAATCTCTACCACCAGTGTTGATAAGGTGGATGGCGATAAGATGGCGGTAGTGGTGGTGGCGATGAAGTTTTTGTTGTTCAATCATTTCAGTAGAGGTTGCGAAATTTTCCCCGTCGACGGGCAATCGCCTTGAAGGTAGGTTTCCCAATCTGCGTTGTAGCAGTTTTTGCTGCAGCAGTTCTGTAGCATTCAAGCTTTCTGAAGTTAATTTGTTTGCGTTATTCTAGTTTAAGATGAATCTGCGCTTTTTGGTGGCGTCGGTGTTGGTGCTGATGGTGTTCTTCACCTCGAGCGTCTCGGCGAGCTGCTCTACCTCGGAAAAGGATGCAATTGGCCTGTGCACAGTGGTGGCGGCCAAAGAATGGAATGTTTCAAATGTGGACATGGTAAGTTATTAGCAGGTCTGTGTACCTTCTTTACTAAAAAAACCCATTTCTTTTTTCAGAACACCGTCAGCCGCAAGTTCTGCTGCTTCATCTGGACTGCCCTCGAGTGTCAGGTGAAGATTGCTCGAATGTGCGACTCTGACTATGCCAGTGAGCTGTCTCGAGACACTGAACGACACTACCGAGGGCACTGTGTCCTCTACTCACGTCGCTCACCGAAGTGTGTGCGACCACCGGCGGAGATAGTCTCCAGCATCAGCAACAGCAGCAGCACTACAGCCTGATCTTGAAAAGATCATTCTAATTTCTAACACAAAAAAGCGAACTATTGTCAAACAATAGAATTTACCAAAATAAAACTGGCCACACAATGCCTACTTTTTTTTCACAACCACAATTCAAAATAATGCTCATCATCTTCGCTTTGCTGGCTGCCTTCTCTTCAGCGGTGATGATGACTTCACCACCATCACTACCACGATCATCATCAGCATCCCCGTCAAGAGTTTCCAAGTACCCCAATCTTCTTGCCCTGAAAAACCAATCGAACAGCAACAACAGTCCCTTTCCCAGCAACCTCTCTCTGGGCGAGTTGATGATCAAGGCGTGCAGCTCCGAGGCTGAGAACACCTTTGAGCAGCGAAAGGCGCCGCCCGGGGTGATTGCCTGCTGCCAGGCGCTCACTCTGGTCGACTGCATGGTCCAGCAGTGTCAGTCTCTCTCTTCCGATGATGGTGATTCCCTCAATATCAGCAGTACATCTGATCACCACCACCACAATCCAATCGCCGAGTGCAGCCAACTGCGACTGGCGGCCCTGCACGTCAGCATGGACGCCCTCTGCGAGATGGTCAACGTCCGTAATCTGAGTCTGCCGGTGTGCAGCTCACTGCCGATGACGGCCAATCTCGGCCTGGTAGCAGCCCTCATGATCGCCGCTTTTCTCCTCATCACCACCCTCTGCGGCCTGTACATGTGGGCGCAGAATAAGCTGAGGAGCAGGAGGAAGGGACAGGGCCAAGAGACGAGGGTCAAGTCCACCACTGCCGCCGCCGGCTCCACTCCTCGGCCCCTGGACAAGAGCAAAAGTGCTGTCGGAGGGGGTGTTGTTGTGGGAGGCAAAACCTCAAAGAAGAAACCCTCCTCTTCGACATACTCTGCCTTTCTAGGCAAGAGGCGGTCCAGTGTCAAGTCGAGGAAGACGGTGAAGAGCGTCAAGGGCCTGAAGAAAGGCAGCAAATTGGAGTCGCCGATGAAGCGGAGCAGCCTGTCAAAGATGAAGCTGGCCGCCAAGAGCAGTGTGGTGAAGAAGGTGAAAAAACAGTGATTTATTTTTAAGGGGCATTCACTTTTGCAATGTAAAATAAAACAATTTTAAGATTTTGACGTGTATCAAAAGGAGTTCAACAAATCCACTGAAAATCACCCTATGAGCGGGGCGAAAAACGTCCTCTGCGGAAGGCGACATCACGTGACAGTCACGTTGATCCAAAAAACAAAATTGTAAACATTGACATTTTCTTATTTCAAAAAGTGGAGAGTTCAGCGAGTACAACTGCCTTCAAAATACCTTCACTCGATGTCCTCTATTCTCCTTCAGCAGAATCGACTGCTGTTGTATCGATGTTTCACTTCAAAAGTTAGCAGCACTTCAACAAGACGGCTCTTCTCCTCAAAGGAAACTAAACTTCAGTTCAGCAATGGGTTTGTTTGAGTTTGTCCTTTGCACTTCTTGCTCTTCTAACCGATTCCTTTCCCTCAGACGATTATTACGACTGTCAACTGGCAAGTTGGCGAAGATGGCCGACGGATGTGCGGTGGTGAGTGCCGGCGACACCAATGTGATGGTGGTGGCGGTGAGCAAGAGCAAGCCCTCCGCCCACCAGGGCTTCATGCCGATGACCGTCGATTACCGGCAAAAGGCCGCCGCCGCCGGACGCATTCCAACGCACCACCTTCGCCGCGAAATGGGCCTCTCTGAGAAGGAGATTCTCACCTCCCGAATCATCGACCGCTCTCTGCGGCCACTCTTTCCCAAGAGCTACACCAATGAGACGCAGATCGTCTGCAACCTCCTCTCGCTGGACGGCCAAAATGACCCCGATATAATCGCCATCAACGCCGCCTCAACCGCCCTAGCGCTCTCCGATATTCCCTGGAACGGGCCGATTGGAGCGGTGCGCGTGGCGCTGGACGAGAACAATGACGTGATCACCAATCCCACTCGAAAGGAGTCCAACGAGGCCAGGATGAATCTAGTCATCTCGGTGAACGAGGCGGGCAATGTGCTGATGATGGAGGCCTTCGCCAATGAGCCCGTTCTGGAGCCGAATCTGGTGAAGGCGATCAGCAAGGCGATCAAGGAGTGCAAGCTGATCATCAACCACATCAAGCAGCTGCAGGCGCAGGTGGGCAAGCCGAAACGGCCGGTGGAGGAGACGGCCGGCCTCAGCGAGGAGTACCTGCAGGCGGTGAGGACGCTGGCGTACACGCGAATACTCGACGTGCTGACCAATCACTCGCACGACAAGGCCTCTCGCGACCATGCTCTGAACGAGGTGCGCACCGATCTGCAGGAGAAGCTGAAGGAGGACTTTCCCACCGGGGACGCTCACCTGAATGAGGCCTTTGCGACGGTGGTGCGCACCACCTACTCAGAGATGGTCATCAAGAGTGGCATTCGTTGTGATGGCCGAGCCCTGGAGGAGCTGCGGCCGATCACTTGCGAGGTGGACCTCTTCAAGCCGGTCCACGGCTCGGCGCTCTTTCAGCGCGGCCAGACGCAGGTGCTCTGCACGGCGACGCTCGACTCGCTCGACTCGACCTGGCGCGCCGACCCGGTGTCTGCGGTGACGGCCGGCATCAAGGAGAAGAACTTCATGCTGCACTACGACTTTCCGCAGTACGCCGTCAATGACATCAGCCGCTCGAGCGCCCTCAGCCGCCGGGACATCGGCCACGGGGCGCTGGCCGAGCGGGCCCTCAGACCGCTGGTGCCCACCGACAGTCCCTTCACGACGCGGCTGCTCTGCGAAGTGCTCGAGTCGAATGGCTCCTCGTCGATGGCCAGCGTCTGCGCGGGCAGTCTGGCACTGATGGACGCCGGCGTGGAGGTGTCGGCGCCGGCGGCCGGCGTGGCCATCGGTCTGATGCAGCACGCCGAGCAGTACCGCATACTGACGGACATCAGCGGCATGGAGGACTACTTTGGCGACATGGACTTTAAGATTGCCGGCACGAGGAAGGCCTTCACCGCACTTCAGGTACTGTTGACCTGTTTACTTGTTTTGGTTTCCTGCTAAGAGAACACTAATCTACTTCTCCACCTACGCCTTAGCTGGACTGTAAGCTGACCGACGGCCTGCCCTTCAAGATTCTCTACGAGGCCATACAGCGGTCGCACGCCGCCCGGAACAGCATCATCACACTGATGGAGGACGTGCTGGCGGCACCGCGGAAGAAGCCCAAGGAGACGATGCCCGTCAGCGAGCAGGTGGACGTGCCGCTGAACCGGCGCGCCAAGTTTCTCGGCGTCGGCTGGAGCAACGCCAAGCGCCTCATGGCGGAGACGGGCGTCACCATCACACAGGACCTGGAGGACGGCAACGCCTTCAACGTCTTTGCGCCGAACCAGGCGGCGATGAACGAGGCGAAGGAGTGGATCAAGGCGGTGCTGAGCGAGCCGAACGTGCCCGAGCTCGAGTTTGGCGCCATTTACCAGGTGAAGGTGGTGGAGGTGCGCGAGAACGGGGTGATGGTGCAGATGCACCCCGCCATGAGTCCCACCTTTCTCCACCTCTCCCAGATGGACATTCGCCGGGTGAACCACCCATCGGCGCTGGAGATTGAGGAGGGCTCGCAGATCTCCGTCAAGTACTTTGGCCGGGACCCGGTCTCCGGGCAGATTCGCATCTCAAGGAAGGTCCTCCAGGCGCTCGAATCTCAGGTCAGAGACTTTGTCAGCTAGTGTTCTTTTTCATTTACACCAACAAAGCATCAGTTGATTATCAAAAAGGAGTCTTTAATGAGTTGAGAACGTTAAGTAGATAATACTCGAGAGGTGCAGAAAAGGCGCTGCTGAACATTGAGCAGCCGTCAATCGCACCACAACATCACAACATGTTGAAAGCCATCGGTTTCTTGAGAGAGTTTGAGAATACTTGTTCGGCGGAAAACTGTGACTACGATCACCATCATCACTTTTGTCATCGTTATCATCTTCTCTCGACATGCCAAGTGATGCCATAGCATCGATTCAGCCTGTCATCTTGGTGGTAGTGCAGACAGTCCTCGAGGGTGGCCCTCTGCCTCTCCTCCCGGTACATCTCCTGCAGCTTCAGGTCGTGCCTGCTGAACTCCGCCTTATCACCGCCGCCGTAGGCCACCTCGTGACAGCGGTGTTTGCCGTCTGTCAGCCAGTCGGTGGTGTAGCTGTAAGGAAAATGGGAAGGGAGCCCAAATTGTATTTTAACTCCTAAGTTTCCTCAAACTTAAGCCTCTCCAGACTTACAGACAGTGAAGTACCAGGGCGGCGTCGTGACCTTCAAAGAACCTCGTCCGGTTGATTTCTCGTCTGTGGTGGTGGTGTGGTTTTGTGAATGAAAGGGGGTATTTTGAGTTCACTGCTTGATTGATTGGGGATGCTGTTGCTGGCTGCTACATTTATCAGAGATTACTATCTTTACGCGATTACAATTTGAAAGAAGCTCTATTGAGGAAGCTGGTCTGGTCTGGTGCAGCTCTAACTTGCAACAATTTGTCTTTCAGCACACTAAGCACACGCACTGATAGTCGCACTTACCGCTTATCAGCCACTTCCTTTTCCCAGAGTTGGCGCAGACGAGCCTGCCGAAGACTGTCAGTGGTATGTGATGATGATGATGATGATGATGATTGGTGCTGTCTTGATTGCTGCCAGCTGATGATTGTCCGACATGGCAAGTAGCCACTTCTGCTGCTGTCAAACTGGTGATAGGCGAAGCAGTGNGGTGATGATGATGATGATGATTGGTGCTGTCTTGATTGCTGCCAGCTGATGATTGTCCGACAGGGCAAGTAGCCACTTCTGCTGCTGTCAAACTGGTGATAGGCGAAGCAGTGCTTCACCAGTCGACGGTCAGCTCGGTCCTTCACCAGAATCGACTGCAGGAGGACGCGCAGACGGCGGTGACGAGCGGTGCTTCGGTGGTGCACCCAGTGCCGCCCGCTGGACGCTATCGAGTGGCAGTGGTGGCGGCGGTGGACGAGCCAGGAGTGGTCGTAGCTGACGAGGGTAAAGAGGTTATCGGGAGGCTAGGTCCACTTAATGAAAACTACTTACAAGCAGCGGTAGGCAATGTCGTGGTCGGAGAGGTCGTCGGGCAGTGCTTCGTAGTCGTCGCTATTCATCGTCAGGGTGCTCCCCACCAGCAAGGTCAGCAGAAGGAGAGAGGTGATTGTTGCCAGGAGACGGTGGTGACCAGTGAAAGGGCTGCCGTTCATGCTGCACACATGCGGCACCGCCGAGCGAGCTGCACACCACCAGCACACCACTACTGACACAAAGACGCGGCTGAGGCGCACACCTGAAATACTGCAAAACTCTCTCGCTCTCACCCTCACCTCTCCGCGAAGTGCTCTAAAATAAACAAGGAAATGCCGGTGGTGGTGGTGCTGCTGCGAAGCACTCGCTGGAGCTGACAACCACCGGCGTTGTGGTTGCGGCATTTCACTGCAATCAAATCGCACTCGTCGAAGACAAGCACATCCCCTACCATTAGTAGTCAGTGCCACTATTAACATCGTAATATCGTCCCACCTTCTTATCGTCGTCGGCTACAATTTTTGTGGTAGACCTAAATCAGCAGCAGCAGCAGCAGACGTAGGACAACCACCAACGGAATACAAGCGTGCTTCACATGCTTGTCATTCCACAGGCCGCCACTCTTCGGCAATAAATGTGACCGTGATTTGACATGACATCGGCCATTTGCAGAGGCAACATCATCAGTGGCGGTTGTG